ATAAAATGATTTTCACAAAAGTTAAAAGCAAAAGCATCTCATACCTACTTTTCCAAAACAGTGTTCTATGTACAAAATAATAGTGGTGAAAAGCAGAGGCTGACATGCCAAACATAGTAAAATCACTTTCACTCAAAACAGAAGCTAAATTATTAAAAGTAGCGCACTGCCAAACAAACTCTTAGTTCTCTTGAATTAGCAGTAATTATTGCATATATAAATGATAAAATTTGATATACGAGTAGTGAATAACAAGATTTTACTCCGTATATAATTTTTGATCCTTTGATATCTCAGAGCAGATAGAATACATGATAGACCGCATGAGAGACACAATGACATTGTTTGAACCATGTAATCGATCCCACCTATTAAGATAAGGCTATGTTGTTGTATATGGTTTTTGTTCCTTTGATTGCAACTTCCAATATCCAAAAAGTTCAGCATACAAGTTCTTGAACCTAACAGAAATTAATGCTAAGTCTGTTTTCAAGGAAAATGAAAGTAAATTACTTTTTTTTGCTATCAAATTGAGGGTGCAAAGTGAGATTTTCTCAAATTTTACACATTGTTCGAAATGAAAGAAAAATGGAGGGAGTTTGATGTAATTAAAAAGAACAGTCTAAATAATGTGTTAAGGCTTGTTATGCTCGACTTATCTGATTGGTTGTGATCAAATTTGATTGAGTTCTAATCTGATTGCATTTATATTTTAAACTATTTCTAATCTGATGTGATTAGATTTTAATAAGAACAAGTACTCCGTAATAAATAAAAAGAAAACAAGTCTAACAAAAACTATGAACTTTCTTTAGTTATCCACTCCACTTCTCACTTCTATAGCTCAGTAGCTTGGACTTAAGTCAAACCAGCAAAATCCCCTCTATATTTCTGAATTGTGTGTGAATTAACTTCAACAAATAATAACCCTTAACTAGTATAGTATCACTCATCCCATGAAAAGTATACTTTGGCCCTAAAAATTGCTTCTTGAAAAGGCAAAATATGAGGCCATTTTATGCTTCACTGCTCTGTGGCTGCTGTTCTAAACAAATTGCAGCAAACAACAACAAATCTAACAAGTCTGGGAGCAGATAAATACTTGAAGCTTACTGTGCAATTCCTAGAGAAAATCTAATAAACTTCATTTCAGAACACTTTAAATACTCAGTTGGTTTGCTAAACTCGCAAAGTCAAGCAATTAATTCATTCCAATGTTTCAAAGGAGGAAAGATCAACAAAGTGACTATAAAAAACTACAATCGCTCTTACCTTTCCTGGGTTTGGATTCTATTGGCCTTCCTCTCGGACAAGGCATCAGCAAAAGCTTCAACCATCCTCCGCTGGGATTCAAGAATCATTTCAGTCTTCTTCATCTCCATTTCCATCTTCTTCTCTTCCAACTCCCTGGCCACATCCATTTTCATACTCTCCATCCTCGCAAGCCCTTCTGCCATTAACTTGATGGCTTTTGCTGCCTCCATTATCGGATCACCCCTTCTCTTCCTTGCCATCTCTTCTCCAAGCACCATTTTCTCTTTCTTAGTTTCCCCATCTCCTCTGTGATATCTACTGGATCCATTGTTGAAGTTGTGATTAGGGAATTGCCCCAACATTTCATCAGGTGTGCTGTAAGTGATGGCTTTAGGCCTCGCACTGTTAACTCGAATCCGAAATCCAGGTCCGCCCGTGTTGATCACTGACTCTTGAAAGCTATTCCGTTCATTGTAACCCAGATTGTTGTGGTTGTAAATATGGCCGGCGTGATTGAGGCTACTTTGATTGAAACCGTCCTGATCTTCTTCCAATTCTTCCTCGTCAGGGGCTGGAGAGGCCGCATCTGGGCCCCTTTCCATTTCGTCCATGCCTTTGAAGTGGATCCAGGTGGAGCAGTAACGGCGGGAGGATCCGGCGCCGTAGGAGGCCGCGCGTTGAATCTCGGCGCGGTAACGCTTGCGGAGCTTCTCCATCTTGTGGCGGCACTGCATCGAGGTCTTGGGAGTGTCGACGGGGCACCTCATGGCGACATCCTCCGCCACCTCCTGCCAGTGATTGGCCCGGAGATTCCCGCGGCGAACGGAATACCACTTGTCCCTGTAAGCGTCGATCAGAGCGGAGGTCTCGTCGTTGGACCAGCACGGCGGAGGGAGGCGGCGAGACGAAGCGCCGCTGTGGGACGCGACGGTGACGTTGGAGAAGGGGATCTCCGGCAGGGATGTAAGGCGTTCCTCTGCCGACGGTGAAGGCGATGCAGCCATGGATCGGATCGATCTGATCGATTACGATAAGAGACGGAAGATCTGACGGTACGAGAACAAGAAGGCGGAGGAGGAGACGATTGGGCGGCGGAGGACGGTGACATAATGGGAGATAGGGTTAGGTATAAAGGGGTGATGGAGGGTGGGGTGGGGCGGCTGATGTGGAGAGCAACAGAGAGGAGACCACCGCTATGGGAGGGGGACGCTAACGTGCGCCGAGGAACGCGGAGACTGTTAAAATGCGCATCTCATTAGTAAAAAGTTGTTTAATTCCCAAAGTATGACTCCGTATTTACCCCGTTGATTGACCGTGGGCCGCGCTGCCGACGGGCCGTATCTCCTCCGCCGCCGCCAACGCGGGAAGGTCCGCCGTTATGGGCCGCGTGTCTCTTCGTCTTCTTCTTCTCCATACGGCCTGGCCTGCTGGATGATGTTGTTCTTTTATGGGAGGGTGATTCCGTAATTGTCTAATGCTGCGAACATACGAGATGGATATTGGGGTTTGTATGGCAACCGACTTTATTAGAACTTAGAGTTTTAGCATCTTAGGAAATTTTATGTTATGTAATTGTGTTTTTTATTACAGAGTATGAAAATTTTAAATTAAGAGTAAATTATTAAAAATTTATTAAAATATAAGTTTCATATTCTTATTTTCGAAATAAGAGTTAAAATAAATTTATAATACAGATCATGATAATATACATTACAATGTACATATATAGTACCATATTGTCACAATACAAATTTTTATTTTGAGAATAGAAACATGGATTTCTTATTTTGGTACTTTATCTATATTTTAGGGAAACAATATCTAAAATAATATCAACTTTTTCTAGTCTTTCAAAAATAATCGCACATTTCACTGTGATACTCCATCCGTCATATAATGTTCTTTCCGTTTGTGTTTACGAGTTTTGACTAACTTTATTTCCAATTCAATTTATTTGATTGTAGGTGTAATATTAAAAAATAAAATTTATCTATTTAAAAACTACATCAAAAGTTCTACGTAGTATAAAATAAGTGGTAATAGGTAACTGGTAAAGAAATTGATTAAACTTTGACCGTGTGAAAAAAAAACTGGGAAAAATATTTTAGGACGAAGGAGTACATAATAATATCAACTTTACTCAAATTTACAAATTTTGGGTCACTATTAAGTTACTAACAGCGGTTTAACGGAAACGTCATATTTTGCACAATAAATGAAAGTTGAGATATCTTTTATGAATTTTTGTTTTTAATATTTATTAAAAATTTTTTAAAAAAATCTTTCTACCTCCGTCATTTCTTTTCTCTTTTTTTAAAGGTTGGTCTAACTTTGAAGATTAAAAAAATAGATATAAAAAATAACGAAAAATGAGAAAATAACTAAAGTCAGACAGATTTAATTAAATAAATAAGGTAATCAGAAGAAATTAGAATTAAACAGATAAGAAATAAAGTAAATATATATTGAGTAGTGGGTTTAATATTACTATATAGAGTACTAATGCACAACTTCTTCTTATTTTTAAGAATAATTATCTAAAATAATTCAAACTGTACCCGCCTTTCAAAGAAATAAGGGGTAGTACATTAATATTTTGTATACTGCGTAAAGTGTTAGAACCTTCCACTCCTTATATTTTTATATTATTTCTTACATGTTTTATTTTGATTTCTTTTGATTACCTTATTTATTTCATGAATTTTGTATGGTTTTAGTTATTTTTCTCATTTTAATTATTTTTTATATCTATTTTTTTTATTTTTTCTAAGGTAAGACTGATCTTTAAAGAAAGGAAATGGAGGTAGAAAGTCATTTTAAGAATTTAAATGAAATTTTCAAAAAAACTATTAAAATACGAAAGTTCATAAAAAATAATTTCAACTACAAGTATTATTTTGTTGCACAAGACAAGCCGTTTCTGTTAACCCACCGTTAGCAATTTAACGTCAACCTAAAACTCGCAAATTTAGTAAAGTTGGGGTTTTTTTGCATCATAGTGAAATGCATAATTATTTTTTAAATACCGGGTAAAGTTAAGATTATTCTGAATAATTTGTTTTTTATTTTACTCCTATTTAGAGTGCTTTATGGATAAAAGAAAAATTTACCTAAATAGGACTAAAACATAATGACTTTCCCAATATAGGACCATATGTTTTTATTTTGCAATGTAAGACCTTTGGTCATTATCAATTAGTCATTATTCAAGCAAATGTCCATCATTACTGGACATTATTTCTCCCACTAGACATTATTAACTCTTATTTAGGAAATTAAAAAGTTTAAGTCCTACATTGAGAAATGAATGTTTTAGTCCTATTTATTGAAAATTTCACTTTTAAAAATTTATCTTACGATAACATTTAATTTTAAATTTTTAAAAATTAATTTACACTATTATTGTTGTAACATTTTACTAAAACTATAATGACAAAAAAACTGTTAACAAACAAGACAAAAAACATAGTTCAATGGGTGGCATAAGGAGAGATCGTAGCTGATTTATAATTCAATTTATTTCTTCTGTGATAATTGTCTAGCTGTTGCATAAAGACCCTCGGAAATGGAGTTCATCATTCTCTAGAAAAAGGAAGCATTAAAAAATTTGCATTTTGGGGTCGAAATTTGGGTTCATCCACTCTACACCTCAATTGTAAAACTCCACTATGAGCCCAAGTGGTCACATGAAGTTTCAATGTTTGGGGCACAGGATTTTGGCATTAAAAAAAGCCTCATGACTCGAACATTTAAAGAGCAATTTATCCAATTACCACCAAGCAAGCATATGGTGCTGTTTTACAAGTTGAGCCATGGCAAACCCACAGCAGATGAACACACCTTTAAGAATAAAGAGCCCGAGAGAATGAAATTCGATGCGGTGGATAAAAATTGGGGAATATAATGTCAAGAACAACAGAGCTGCAGGAAAAAAAACATGAAATCCAGAAAACCCAGCACGCCGTTCAACCTTAAACTTCTCCAGCTTCTTCAACCTCAGTCCCTTCTTGATTGGGTTTGCTCTGTGGAAGCAGGCGTTCTACTTCAGCAATGACATCTTGAGCTTCTTTAACTACCTCATCGGGGGCTTTATCGTCCTTGAGCTCCACCTGAGAATAAACAGATTTCCTTCTTAGCAGCCAATTATGGAGTTCTCTGTTGTTTTGATGATAAAAGCTACGGTTGGGAATTTAGGCGCACTCGATTTAAGAGAGAAAAAGAAAACAAAGAAGGCCTATGTGTGAATTTTTATAACACTGCTCCTATGTCAAAGAAGCCAGAAACAATCTTTAGAAGAACGAAGATAGTTCTTTGGGGTTACTTTTCTAGAGAATATTGTATCTTGGTCTGCAAAAAAAGAAAACAAACAAATTTTGAGTACAAACCAGGTATGCTTTAAGGTCAGCCAGAGCAGTTTCTAGACGCTTGTGGCAATCAGGAATCATCATTCTCGACTCGGCCAAAACATTTTCCTGCATAATAATGCAACTAAAGATTGAAATCTGGATATAATGGAGGGTTAATTACCCAATTAGACGAAGCACAACAATTTCACACTAAAGATATGTCCATGCAAGTTAGCATTTGATGATTCTTCAAAGTTCAAAATTATTTCCCACATGAAAATGGTCATTAATGCTCTACTGCTAATGTAGCTAAAAATCATTTTTGGACAATGTGTTCGATAGAGGTAACTAATGGACTAAATCAAAATGGAACATGAAACTTCCCTGGCTTGTTACGAAGTACTTCCTGTGAAGTTTTATGCAGCAAGGGTCAAAGTGTCTAACGGAAATAACCTCTCTCTCCTTCTCATGGGTAAGGCTCCGAACATCTTGAGCTCCCACACCCCACAAGGGTTGGGATTATAGTCATTATACTAGGTTCATTGCTGACATGTCATGGTTATCAAGTGCAAATATATGAGTCTTGAAGACTTGGTAGGGAAAAGAAAAGAAATTGATATGGAAAATAAATTTTCTTGTTTGGTTAGTGAGGACATGAAAAGTGAGGAAAAAGTGGACTAGAAAGGGAAAAACCAATTTTTCTTCCAACTCAGTTAGGAAAAGGAGAAACCCAGTGGTAAGTCTTCTCAATATCATTCAATCCATAGTTGCTCAACTTCTTCATTCAATTCCTAATCACTCAATTTCTCCCTCTTCTCTCCCTCCAGTCCCTCTCTTTCAACAAAGAGATCATGAAAAGTACTTTTCATGCCAAATTTCAGTAACAATTTCCTTTCCTTCATAATTCCTCAACCCAAACATAGTGGAAGTGAAGTTGTTACTTGTTAGTCCTTGTATTTAGATGAGGACTTAAAAAACACAAGGAATGCAAAGCCACAAATATGCATAGACTTTAAGGATGAATAATAATATAATTTCAGCATCCTCCTTGAGTTCTTATTTAACCTAAATGTCTGGGGTAGGTGTACACAAACCTTCCACATTCCTATTAAATTTTGATCTGTCGTTTAACCTAAATTTTAAAGCTTACACATTCCCATAAAATGTTGATCTGTTTTTTAACCTAAACTTTAAAGCTTACACATTCCTATAAAATTTTGATCTGTTGTTTAGCCTTACACATTCAGCTCTAATTTTTAAGCTTATAACATATCAAAACTGCCATATATTTTTGAGCTTGTTGTAGCTGCATCTGCTCCATTTTGCCCATAACAGATAAATGAATCCGTGAAACAGAAACGGATGGCTATTGACAGAGAAAACCTGTTGTTTGAGGTCATATGGATCGGCGTTACGATTCTTCATGTCATTCGTCTTCGCGGATTCTCTCTCCACCTCCTTCTCATATGAGTGAAGCTCCTTCACTATGGGTTTGCAAGACGCCGCCTTGATCTTCAGATTCCTAATAGCATTCTCCATTGTTTTTTTCTGAAAAAAGAAGAAACATTTACGTAAAGAATAGCCAGGGATTCAAATGCTACTGCACAAAGTAGAGAAACCCAAGCTTACAGCCGGTTTGGAAACCTATATGGAATTCAATTCCCTCAATAAATGAATCGAATTCCTTTACCCATTGAGGTTTTTTGGGGATTCGAGTACAAATCAGACGGGGATTGAAATCCCAGAAGAAGAAAAACAGAAAATTGGGATCTTGCGGCCACAAATTGATCCTCTAAGACAGCCTACATATTCCCGTTCCGGGAGGTGGTGTTCCTCGTAAAACCCTACGCTCCCAAGAATGGGGACGTAGGTGTCCTTTCCCGTCCCATGAGGTCGGATTTGCAAACCCTATGTTAAATCGAGATTGAAGATGTTGAACCTGCGCACTAGTCGAGAGTCTCAGAGTCGCCGGCGGTTCTCCGCTTGCCCGCTGTCTGCTTAAACGTTTTCTTTTATCAAAGGAAAAAGTATTTGTAAAATTGACTATTTCTACCATGTTCAAACCCCATCTCATTTCTCCTCAATTACACTTTGCAATTCTAATTGACTTTTGAAATCAAAGTTTAGACTTTAAATCAATTATACTTGTCGGGTGTAATTAATGTAGGTGGGGATGTGTTGGGGTTGGGACTGGGAAGGGAGGTTTACTGGTTAAGAGGGGTAGAAATCATCAATGTTACCAATGGAGCATTATAGGTGTTCAATGGCTCCCGTGGTCACTGAACCCAGTCGTTGAAGAAACGGCACAGTTCCATGATCACTAGTTTCAGTGGCCACGGAAGAGTTACTGTCCCGATTCAGACATTTATGATATTCCATTTGTAAAATTGATGATTCATATTCATCCTTACTTCCCCTCTTGAAATTGGTTGAATGGAAGAATGAGGCAAAAGAGGAGAAGAATCAATGTATGGTCGAGTAGAATGGGATCTGAGAGTGATTGTGTGCTGAAAGACTGCACCCTGTTAGGAATCGACCGCTAAAAATCGATAGGAACCACCCGATTAAACCGTAAACTTATTTTTTTATAGAAATCTTCCAAAATACTACTGTCCCTATGATTTTAACATTAAATCTCATGTTTTATATATTCAAATACCCACCACCTTATCTAAAGGGCTCTTGTGTCATGACTTGCATAAAGTGGTACAATATAATGCATTTCTTGATTAAAAAAATAAAATTTCTAAAATAATTTATTTTCATAAAACATTAAAAAATATATTGTTATAACTATGATTTACACTTTTAACTACTATGTATTCTACAAATACAGAATATATATCAAGGGAATATCTAATTTAAATAAGTTTTAAAAATATTAAACAAATAAAATCTCATTCTATTTTATAAAATTTTTACTATAATTTTTAAGTATTTCATAATATATAATTTTATTAGTTTAATGCTACTATTCAAATTAATTAAATTGATTATCCCTTTAGCCATATATTATAAACAACTTATTATTAGATAGAGAACATATTTTTTTATTATATTGTGTGTACTACTGGTTCAATCATTCGAAGTACTAATTTGACTAGTGAATCAATAAATCACTACTTTGATCATTTAAGGGAAATGCTTGGTTCACAAACAAAATGGTCACAAAATTCACAAACTTACTATTTGTGAACTTTAATAAATAAAATTAAATAGTCTTAAATAATTTTAAAATAAAATTTAATCCATAAATAGTAAGTTTGTGAAGTTTGTGAATATTCTGTTTGTGAACCTAGCATTGCTCATCATTTAATATTGGTCCAATTCTAAATGGGCAATGCTACGTTCACAAACAGAAGGATCACAAACTTCACAAACTTACTATTTATGCTTTAAATTCTCATTTTAAAATTATTTTAGACTATTTAATTTTCTTTATGGTTTAAATTCTCATTTTAAAATTATTTTAGACTATTTAATTTTCTTTATTGAAGTTCACAAACGGTAAGTTTGTGAAGTTTGTGAAGTTTGAGTTTGTGAACCAAGAATTTCCCATTCTAAATTATGCTCCATACCTCTTTAATTTCCCAAAGCATTCTTAAATATGAAAAGGTGACAAGAAGAAAAGGGTAAAACTAGGAGAGAGAAAACGAAGAACTTACAGTGCTTGTCATCATCTATCCGGACAACGAAACCCTAATGATCTCCCCTCTCTTTCTAACACACTCTTAACACTGTGTTTATGACTTTAACCCCTTCCCCCAAATCTTTTTTTTAAAATATTTCTATAATTATTGTTATCAGTTCCAATCTCCCGTCAATTTTACTGCTATATCTAGGGTTTTTGCATCTCATATGAAATCCCTCATGTAAATAGCACATAATATCTAGATAGATTCATAAAATATATTATTGGATTCGCCACACCCGCGCCATCCGTCTGAGAGGGGATCCAGAAATGTACAGAGATCGCGGAGGAGGAGGGTCGTCCAAGTCTGAGATCGTCGGCGGGGCGTTGGATCGGAAGCGAATCAACGATGTGTTAGATAAGCACTTGGAGAAGTTGTCCCCCTCCACCTCCAAGTCGTCCAAGGAGAAGGCGTCCACCTCCGTCGCCGCCGCCGGTGCTGGCGGCAAATTGCAGCATATCGACCATCGCGACAATCGCTCCTCCTCTGCTTTTCCAGCAAAAAACAAGTGCTCTGGTAAGATTCCTTGCTTCAAAACCCCGACTTTGGACATTTTTTTACTAGTTCGCTTTAATTTTTTTTTATGGCTCGCAGTGAATAAATGCTGGTATGCATCGTCTTATGGAGTGAAAATTAATTTTCCTTGTTAAGTAGTCTTGTTGCTTAACTAATTTTGAGCAATAATCTCATGGAGTGAAAAAATCTTGGGTGTTTCTTAGCAGTGTAACTTTGAATCGAGAACTATTTCTCTTGTTTTCTGAAATGTAAGAAGTCTATAACGAATAAAAGGATATATCTGTGGCTGCAGTATGTTCATTATACCATCCTATCTTTAAATCACATTTAGTGTGTAAGTTGACATATCACAAAGCACTGAATTGTTTCATTAAATGGTGGGGGGTTGTGTGGATAGCAATTGGGAACATAAATATCTAAGTTTGAATATATTAACAGAATGACCAAGTGATTGAGTGCAAAGAGCTGAAGAACACAGAATTAAAACGGCTCATAGTGTAAAATAGCCAATGGTCCACGCTTTAGGTATGGTAAGCATGTGGGGTTCATGATGAGCATGTGTAGTGGTTGGCTTTGCCAACTTGGGCGGAATGTTGGTATATTGCACGAGATTCTTCTATACTCAAATGCAATTTTGCTATCCATTTAGATAGTGCACATACAAGGCTTGCAACCATTATTTCAGACACTCTCCCTCTCACTATCTCATACGCCTTGTTGGTTGGTGCTATCCATTTTGGTAGCATCAAATCAACCCTCGCATGCTCTCTTTTTTTCCTAAAAGCACATTTCAGTGCTCATTACTCATGTAATGCTTAATTGACATGAAAAGATCAAGGAAGCAATGGTGCTGGCATTGTCACATGGTCTTGGCTTATTATTTCTGCTAAGCATAGTACTGCAACTACTGTTGAGTCTGGTGTGCCTCAATCAAAATCTTGCTTGATTTTTCACAAGATCCTTAAGCTTTTATTACGTTGAAAAGAACCTATTTTTTGTTCATGAGCTTACACCCAAGATTATTTTTTTAATCATTGGGAGAGAGGATACCTTATAAGCAAGCACAAATACCATCAGGTCATGGAAAGGTAGTCATTCCCTTACACTCAAGTCCACCTAACACACTGGGATTATTTGAACATTGGTACCATGGGTTTATATGTCCTTGATCAACCACTGGGGTTACAATCAGTGATTAAGAATATTAAATGTTTTGTATGCTATTTTCTTGTTTAATTTCATTAGAGTTTTATAACATGCTTAGCTCTCTGCAATACATAATGTCAAATACTTAATGTCCTTGCATCTGCATATGGTCATTTGCATTTGGAGTGCTATAACATCCTGCAATTTCTGTATTTTGCAGAAGAATCTGAAACAGACAGTGAAGATTCTGATGTTAGTGGCTCTGATGGAGACGATACATCATGGATCTCGTGGTTCTGCAACCTCCGAGGAAATGAGTTCTTCTGTGAAGTTGATGATGAATATATCCAAGATGATTTTAACCTTTGTGGATTAAGCAGTCAAGTTCCTTACTATGACTATGCACTTGACCTTATTCTCGATGTTGAATCCTCTCACGGTGAGTGTATAGATTATTTAGATATTTCAAAGTTATCATTTCGAGAATTTGATATTTTTATTCCCATTGTTCTGTTGATGAATGATGACACCCTTACGTTAGAATCTTTTTGGTAAGTTTATGCGGAGTGGAATCATTATAAGTAAGAAGGATGTGAAAGTCATGGTGACGGTAGGCAGCCAGTGTATGGCTTGATGGAATAATTTCATTTATCATTATTTAAGGGTCTGGTGCTTTGTTGTTGACTATGTGTATAATATTCCATAATATTTATTACATCTTCGTTCACCAAAAAAGCTACGTTTCAAAAGATTTTTATTTTAAAAAAAGGAACCCTTCCTTATCTAATGGAGTTAATTTCCCCTGTTATTTGACAAAATAAGTTACAGATAAGTTCAATATAATGAGTATATTTTTAAAATATTTTTTGAAGAAAAATAGGTTTGGCCAAATAAGAACCCTTTTGGGAGAGCCAAAGGGTAAGGAATCTACAAGTCAAGGATAGAGTAAACTGACCGCTTGTTATTTGGAATATAATATATGGGGTTGATTTACCGCATGAAATCATTTTTCAGGCAATGTGTGTTTCTGATATAGGTTTTGGTTTATCAAATTAGTCTCCACTTTTCTTTGAAGAGTTTTATGTTGTCTATAACATCATTTTGATCCTGCAAGAACAAGAAAGTGGGTAATGGCTCCAATTTCCCTACACATTTGGTAGTCATTTAAAAAGTTTCCAAGGCTTTATTGGTATATCCCCTCTATGTTATGGATGCACAGGTGATATGTTCACTGAAGAGCAGAATGAACTTGTTGAATCAGCAGCAGAGATGTTATATGGGCTTATTCATGTACGATATATATTGACTAGCAAGGGAATGGCTGCTATGGTAATCTTATGTAAAAGATTGTCAAAAACTACTTTCCTTTACATAATTGTTTTGACTCTATAATGAAAATGTCTCATGCCTTTTGTAACTTTTCAGTTAGAGAAGTACAAAAACTTTGACTTTGGGAGATGCCCACGAGTTTACTGCTGTGGACAGCCTTGCCTCCCCGTTGGTCAGTCAGACATTCCACGATCAAGCACCGTCAAAATATATTGCCCCAAATGTGAAGACATCTACTACCCTCGATCCAAATATCAAGGCAGTATCCTTTCATTGAATTGCATTTTTAATACTGGGTTCGAAATGATATGATTTTCTCAAGCGACAAAAAATTGTGAAATTTTATACCCTCTCCAGGAAAAAAAAGTCATGCTTGATTAAGGTACACCCTTTTATCTTTAGTCATATCCATTAAGTTACAAACTTTTAGGAGCTTTAAATTTTAATTTGTTATGCTACAACTTATTTCCATTTTTTTTTTTGCGAATTAAACCATTTGTTAGTCATCTTCACAAGAATTTCACTTGAAATTTAATGTTCACTTTTAATGGGGAAAACAAAGTTCTTGAAGCAGCACTTTTTTTTGGTGCTGGGTGTGGGGGATGGATACTGCACATTTTTAAAATTCATTTTGGTACATACATAAGTAATTTTATCTTTATTTCTGGTTTGTGAATTGTGACCATTTTTGTCAATACATTTTTAAGAAACTAGTTGGACCAGAAATAAAACTATTTTGCAATACAAACTCTTGAACATGACTTTCTTTGGGAATGAGTAGATTTTTCTGTCATTGTGTTGCACTTATTTTGGCTCCATTTGTATTTCCATTCCTTTGTTTGCCGTACCATTGTAGTTCAGTTTATTTTGTCTAACTTGATATGCACAGCTTTTCATTTTATACTGAGAAAAAAAGGAAATCTAATGCCAATATTCTCATAAATTTGAGAATTTACAAGAATACTCTAGAGCACATAATTATCAACACTGCTCCCAGAAATTTAATATTTTTACAATGGTACTCCAAACAAAAATTACTTTACATGGATCTTCCATCTTTTGAGGTGAAATCAACATGTAATCTTGGAGTATTCGTGTAATACTATCTAAATTATGGGAGCACTAGTGATAATTATGTAATTGTGGAAGTATTCTTGTAAATTCTCAAATTTGTGGGAGTATTGCGATGAATCTTTCCAAAACAACAAAGAAAGATGGATGCAATTTGTCAGGTCTTCTGTATCCGATTTCCATTGCAACATAGTCTTTTATTTCAACTGGGTTTTCCCTTCACTGGCTAAGATATTGACGGAGCTTATTTTGGAACAACATTTCCTCACCTCTTTTTGATGACTTATGGACACCTCAAGCCGCAGAAACCGACACAGAACTATGTGCCAAGGGTATTTGGGTTCAAGCTTCACAAGCCTTGACGATGAAGTATGTTGTTGCATTGTGGGGGTAGAGATGTCATTTTTCTTTCTTTCTTTCTTTATCTGGCTTTCTCCGATGTACACGTTCTTATCAGCCAGGTAATACAAAATCTGTCCTTGTTATGAAAAATATTTGTTTTATTGATTTAAAAAAAAAGAGTTATCGCACTCGGTCTGTCGAGGAAAAAACTTGTGCCTTAAATCTTATCATGAACTGTACTGCCTGTGTATTCCCTCATTGCGAATTACTATTTTTTAGTGATTTGCCTGTATACTGTATGAGTCTTCTTTTGCTTACATAGCGTTCCTCCTAATACTCGACCGCGATTATGTGGCACGATGTTGATGACACATCATGAGGTATTATCAGACAAGGAAAAAAGAGTTAGTCAAAATTTCGCATTGGACTTCGTTAGTATATGAGATGACCATTTGAATTATCAGTAAATTCTTAAAGATGACCTAACATAGCATAACGCTAAGGCACTATTAGGTATATGGTGGCATGCCCGTCAGTGGAGCTTTTCGGTTGCGTGTTTGCTATTAATCTGTGATTAAAGTCTAATATACTTCTACTTAGGTGATCGTTTGGCCGATTTCTCAAAGACAGGGTTCATCTTTTTTATATACATTTCGTAGTTTATGTAATCATATGTTTCCTTGTATGAATTTTCTAGTTACTATTGTCTTTTTGGAGTATTTATGTGTTTTTTATATACTTCTTGACCGACAAATTTTGTGATGTTGGGTTAAGAGTAATGCGTATATTGAGAGTCTTAGAATTAGCATAATGTACCCCACTTTTTCATTAAGAAGGTTTGACAATTCTTTTAAAATGATTTTCAAGTTCTACTTTAATTAGATTTAGTTTGAACTTTTAGAACATTATGATTCTCAACTTTCTAAGAAATGAAAAAGCAGAACCTTAAAAGTTGCTCTGAGATGCTTTTAGATTATGTAGTTATATACTCTTTTTTTTTTTCTAAAAATTGAACAATCTTAAACACCCTATTATTAATTGTAGTTAGGCCTAAAGTGTCAAGATCAATTCATCTCTTAAGATATTCCATGTAAAAATTATGGGACTTGGACATGCTTGCAGTTCCAAACAAGTACCCGAATCAGAATTTTGGGGGCGGGCAGATGGAACCGGTACTCTACCTTTCTAGGCGGTATTGGTTCTCGTTCTGGATTTTCGGTACTTAATCCGATTTTATTGTCTTTAGTTTTCTAGGCATTGCTACATTTCGATTCACTATTTTATAAGAAAAAGCTTTATTAAAATAAGTATTTTAGCCATATAGTATCCATTTTGTACAAAAAATTGAATTTTTACAAAAAAGGTTCCGAAACTGGAACTGTCGGGCACCAATATTGGTAGTTATACCTCCCATCGGCGGTTTTGGAAGAGGAAATTCTTGAACTGAAATCGAACCAAAACTGCACTCCTATCAAGATGCATTGCACGGCATTTTAGAAGAAGAAATTGTGGTTGTAGTCAAGTTAGAGTGACCAAGTCAAGTTATAATTGAGATTTGTTTCTTAAATAGTCCTTTACAAAAAAAATGTACATTGAATGACAATTAAATAATGGTAATTTGATGCTCTTTTTTACTCCCTCCGTCCCAATTTAAATCGCCTGTTTTGACTTTTGGGCATATTTAAGGAAAATAAAAAATAGAGTTGATTTTTTTAAATTGCCAATACTTTTTAGGAGGTGTGATGATGAATGAGAAGATAAGGTGAAAAAGAGTGACTTATTTTAGGGATAGATTAGTTATTTTATTTTTAAAAGTTTACGAAAACAACTAACATGCAACTTATTTTGGGACGGAAAAAAAAGGCAAACAGACAATTTAAAATGGGACAGAGGGAGAATATGTTAACTGAGGATAAATAAAATTAAAAGTAAAACTATAAATGTATTATTATAAATTTGAAAATAAACATTTCAAATAATTTACAATTATTTAGAAGAATATCATGTAAATATATTATACAATGAACATTATTTATTTGCTCCTCTTTTTTGAAATAAGGTTCTTGTTTTAATTTGGTTTACGATGTCTCATAATTTAAAAAATTGCACCCCTTTTGTTCTAAATTGAATTGCTTATTTCAGTTTAGATGTTTGATCGAAGTTATTTTCAAATTATTTTAGATGAAAATTTGAGTAGAATTAAAAAAATATACTTCATATTAAAAAATGAACCCAAGTTATAAAAAATAAGTAGAGCATCTCCAATCATATCATTTTAACTTGCTAAAAGTTATAATATAACTAGTTAAACACTTTTGTTTTTTTCTCCAATAAGCATGCTTTATTTTAGCAAGTTTGCCAAAAAAATGAATTTGGTTTGCTAAATATGACAAGTCCTTCAAAAATTAGCTAGCCAATACTTAAAAAATGAAATACTCCGTAACAAATAATGGTTGGAGAATGAAGCAAAAAAGTGCTTGCTATATCAATATTCACTTGCTATAATGTAAAAATAGCAAAACCATATAACAAGCATGGTTGGAGATGCTCTGACATGCTTATTATTAAAATGATCGGTGAAAATATATAAAAAAATAGTTTTACCATGTTAATAGTAAACATAAGCCTTATTTATGGATGAAAAAAACAGTGCGCATTATTTAGTCACACTAATTTGATAATTATTGAACTTGATTTTACGTAATACGGAGTATAAAATGTGTATTTTGTTTTTGTGAAAACTATTACTCCGTATTTCCGAAAACACTCATCCTATCCCAAAATAAAAAAAATGTTAACTAAAAAACTAAGTTAGATTTATTAGAGAATAATTTTGGTTAAACATCGTAAACTGAAATAGGAGTACTCAGAAAATTAATTCAGAGTATCCTCAATTTTTTGATAATGATTCACATGTCCCACATTATCTAAAATATACTTCGGAATACCTTACATTTTCTGGTAAGAACTCTCAGGTCTATTTTATCCAAAATATACTCCACGATCTTTAAAATTTGTAATATTATACTGCGACAGCAGATTCCGTCCATTTAGGCATTAGGATTGAAAGTTCTTTTACTTTGGTAAACTGAAGAGTTATATTTAAGTTAAATAAAATAATGATTATGAATGTAAAATTTAGGATTTTTCAAAGTACCAAAACTTTTCATACGGTCAAATAGACAGAATGTACTCAAGAAATACATTATCACAAATTTTAAAGGCCCCATAGTATATTTCAAATAATATAAGATATGAGAATTTTTATCAGAAAATTGAAATTATTGAACATAACTCAAAATATATTTATCATAATATGGGACCTAGGAATCATCACTAGAATATCAAATTATGGGCTAATATCTTGTTTAGGGGTGTTCATTTATAGGTCTGGACCGAAAAAACCGACCGAACCGGACCGATCGGTCCAGACCGAACCCGGACCGAAAGGATTTCTGGTCAGTCTTCGGTCCGTAGTATTCCTAATTTCGGGTTTCGGTCCGGTCCGGTTATTACCGGATTACCAATTGTCCTGACCTATTGACCTATAACCCTACATATCCTGAGTATTTAATTTTGTATTCTCCGCTCAAAGAACACCACACAATTGAAAACAGCCCAACCTTATCTGACCAAGGATTCGCCGAGCGAGAGCCTTAGCCGTCTCGCAGAGTCCCAGGCTCCCAGCCATCGCCAATTCGCCGAGCGAGAGCCTTCCCCGTTAGTCCTACTGCCCAAGTGCCCAGCGCCGACTGCCGAGCTCCGACGGCCTAGTCGCACACTGCCCAGCACCGAGTCGCCTACTCCGTCAATCCCAATTGAATCAGGTACGGTACTCATCTCGTCCCCCTCGTCTCCTTCTCTGTAATCCCTAGTCTTCTTCTCTATTAGGTTTCTTCTTGTTAAATTATTCCCATGTTATTTGTAGGGCTTAGCAAAATTGTTTTATTCTTAGATTTTTTCTCCAAATAACATTTGAAACTTTTAAATTTGGCTAAGGTATTCAATCAAAGTTGATTGTCAATTGTTTAAAAAACAGAAATGTCACCAAGCTTTGTATTTTCGTTTCAGAATAAAAAAACAGCAATGTCACCCATTGCAGATTCTTTGCAATGTTTCTTAAAGAAGACTTGTAGCTTAAAATAATTAAGTTTATTCTTTAATTGTTCTTCAAATTTTATTTCCAATGGATGGATTGGATGGCTCAATGTTTGCAGGTGAATGGTGGTGTTTAATGCTGGCTAATGGCTAGTTTGGCTACTGCCTACTGCGTTTAGGCCTTTAGGGTGGCTGTTTCAAGAGTGGCTGCCATATTTAATCCAATTCATTTATGTTCAAATGTCCATTAGTCACAGTGGAGAGCAAACTTTATTCCGTCTTTTTTTATTCAACTTTCAAGTTGCAATACATTAAAATGTGTGAAATGTTTGCAACTTTTTTAATTTTTAAAACTGTTCAAATTGAGGTGTTGCAAAGTGATTTATACATTGTTTTTTGTTGTCCTTTAAATTTGGGTCGGTCCAATCGAATCGGTCTGGACTGGTTTGGTCTTTAAAATTTCAGTCCGGTCCGGTCCAAGACCGATACCATTTAGGTCCGGTCTTCGGTCCTACATTTGATCTCGTTCGGTCTTCGGTCCGGTCCGGTCCGGTTCGGTCCGGTCCGGTCCGGTCTTGGACCGATGAACACCCCTAATCTTGTTTATAAAAATAAAAATGAAATAAATAGGGTGGGATATGCTATGGGTACACAAAATGTGTACCCCAAATGTACACCACTCCCCTTTCTACCATTCATTATATTTTTTTTTTATTTTTTTTTGAATTTTCTTACCTTTTTTTGTGGTAATGGAGGGGATGGGGATGTTTGGAGTACACTTTTGGTGTACCCCTGGCATTTTCCAATAAATAGACGGAGTGCTCCGTATTTTTTGTTTTCGAATGGAGGCGAGATGACTGACTACTTCTTCTGTTCTCCTTGTCTTTTCTCCATATACCCTTTTTGACATCAATGAGAGCTAATCAGAAAAATTTACAGAGCACATCGGAAGATCGGGAAGCTCACTGAGTCACAAAACCTTGTTACTCGGTCCATTTCTTGTTCTCAGCTCCATGAGGATGGCAGTAAGGAAAGTAGTGCTGACAAGGTTACTCTCTTCGTCGGTGATAAACCCTAACATTGGGGTGTTAAGATCTATTCCGGAAGAGATTGCCCCAATCCCGGTTGCTACGAGGTCCATCCCCTCTCTATCCGGGCCGTGAAATTCGTTCCTCCGTTTTCCCCTATGTATGATGCAGGGGATGCCAAACTTTATCATGAGCCTCAAACAATCAAGGTTAGTCCGTAAAGCTTTGTTTTTAGGTTTATAATATCTTACATATCTTGTATTGGAGTGTGTTATTTTAAAGAATGCAATGAATTGTGAGGGAAAGCATTAAATAACGTTGTTAGGAGATTTTGCAGCCTTCCATAACACTGTTTTTATACAATAAGTCCATCCATGGCTGCCATAATTCTTTCTTTTATTGTTATTATTATTATTAAATCTTTTTTTAACAAAAATGTGCAGGACTTCCAAAATCCCATACTAGAGCAACATCTTGTATATGAGAGATTGGTGGAAGACCATAATGCAACACTTTCATCTCCCCTCTTGTCACTCAATCTCGGGGACGCCTTCTCACTTTTGTAAAGTTACTTGGGATTGTAGGCGAGAATATTCGGTGTACTTTTTCGTGAAAGCATCCTAATCTCCTACGAATCGTCATCCGAATTAGAAATTGAACTGCTGAAGTGTGTTATTGGGTGGCTCCATCGGGTTTTCTCACCGCAAATTGTGATGCCTCTATAATAAGCCGAGCAATTAGGATTGTTTTTCGAAAATCTCACCGCAGCCCCCTAGGTAATTGCCATGAGTCGATATCAGACGATTTTATGACGATTGAAGAAGGTGAGATTTTTGCAATGATCAAGGACTTAGAGAAAAGCAACGAGATGTTAGAAATCCATCCACCAAGTTGTACCAGGAGGCGGTTACTTCTCTCGGATAGCCTTGACATGGTGAAGAAACTTTGCTCTAAATTATTTTTGAAGCGGAAATCGGCTAGGTCGGCGTTTACCAACATACTTCTCTGAGATGCATACGATTTGATCACGGGAATAGAGGAGGATGACAAAGATGTCAAACTCCTCTATGTTCGCCGTGAATCAAATCAAGTCGTCAACTTCCTCTCGGCGTATGATGTCACCGACAAAGCTTCATCGACCAAAGAGGCTCAAGCGCAAGACATAGGCATGATAAAGTACCAATACAATGAATTAGTGAAGCTTGATAAAAGAGGTTCACTATTTTTGTGTGAGAGTCTCCTTACTCGTCTTGGACAGTGTAAGTGTAAAAATTTAATATTGCATTGTGTTAGTATGTTTTTGTTAGCTATTACAAATTATTAATGTGTTTTTTTGTTTTTGTTTTTTTAATTCATAGTACGTGAGGTTGAAAATCCCAAAAAAGAAAGGTTACCCAAGTGATTGAAGAGGTACTGGCTGTGGTAATACCCCTTGAGATTCAATAAGCTTTATTTTTTTATTAGTTTTTGGGTCATTGATATAATTGGATATTTCTCCAAGAATATATAACTACTTTGCCAATGATGCCTTTTGTGTTTTAATTTGGTGCATCATTGACAAAGTAGTTATATATTCTGGGAGAAACATGCAATTGTATCAGTGACCCAAAAACTCATGAAAAAAATAAAGTTTATTGGATCTCAAGAGGTATTAAAAGAGTCAGTCAATCACTTGGACATCCTTTGTTTTTTGAGAATTTCAACCCCACGCACTATGAATTCAAAATAAAAAAATAAAAAGTACATTAATAAATTGTAATAGTTAACAAAAAACATACTAACACAATGCAATATAAAAGTTTTACGCTTACACTGTCCAACACGAATAAAGAGACTCTCACGAAAAAATAGTAAACCCCTTTTATCAAGCTTCACTAATTCATTGTATTGGTACTTTATCATGCCTACGTCTTGCGCTTGAGCATCTTTGGTCGACGAAGCTTTTTCGGTGACATCATACGCCGAGAGGAAGTCGGTGACTTGATTTGATTCACGGCAAACATAAAGGAGTTTACATCTTTGCCATCCTCCTCTATTCTTGTGATCAAATCGTATGCATTTCGGAGAAGTCTGTTGACTGACGCCGACCTAGCCGATTCCGCTTCAAGAATGATTTAAAGCTAAGTTTTTTCACCATGTCAAGGCTATCCGATAGAAGTAACAGCCCCATGGTATAACTTGCTGGATGAGTTTCTAACATCTCTTTGCTTTTCTCTAAGGCCTTGGCCATTGCAAAAATCTCACATTCTTCAATCGTCATAAAATCGTCGGGCATCGACTTATGACAATTACTTAGGGGGCTGCCGTGAGATTCTCGAAAAACAATTCCAATTGTTTGTCTCATGATAGAGGCATCGCAATTTGCTGTGAGAAAACCTGATGGAGCCACCCAATAACACACTTCGGGTATAGTTTCTAATTCGGATGACCATTCGTGGTAGATTAGGATGCTTTCACGGCGAAGTACGCCTATCCCGGGTAACGCCATAAAAGTTAGAGGGCGTTCTTGTTGAGTGACAAGAGGGGAGATGAAAGTGCTGCATTATGGTCTTCCACCAAACTGTCATATACAAGGTGTGTGTATACTATTAGAGTCTATCCCATATCGGAAGTTGACTAGGTGATATATAAGTTTTTGAGTTGTGAACTAAATAATAGATTTTTGTCTCATACATTCTCTCTCCTAATGCTATTTTGGTTATTGGTGTGTTTGTTTTTGTCAACAGACTTCCAAGAGAGACTATGTGACTTCCAACACTACAAGAATCTGCCGGATTTGCAACAGATATTTGCTACGGACATCACTCCGTTGCAGATCTGCAACAACTCTGCGATGGCTTTTGAAATTTTGTGTCCCTGATATATTCTGCGACGGAACTTTTTTTTCCCGTCGCAGAACTGCAATGGAATGTTTGAGTGCGTCACAGATTACAAAAAATAACATTTGCTTATCCTGGAAAGAAAGTCCAATTCACAAAGGTTGCTCTCGTTCGTGTCCTAATCGAGTCTCCCTTGTTTCTAGGTTGATGGATTCCAGTTTTCTCGACATTGTTTACAAGACACAGTGCTTTATGAAGCACCACCCACCATCACTGTAAGTCTGATTTTTTAAGGTTGTCTCTGATTTTAAGTTATAATGTTATAATAGTATGCTACTATTTGTACTATTCATTATATCGAACAAAAAAGTAAGAATTTAGGAGTGTATGAAGTGAAGGTCGAAGAGCACTACCTAATGGTCTCATTCCCGTGCATGGCCATCAATCTCGAGGATGCATTTTCAATGCTGTGGCGTTACCCCAGATGGGGAGGCAAGATATTTAGGCTTTTTTCTTGAGAGCAAATCAGGTTCTTTTACCAGTGGCCTCCTCTTATGAAAGAGGCACTTGAATTATGTCATTGGGTTGGGCCCCTAGATATGTCACTGTAAATTGTGACGCTTCATTTGTTCATTGAGCAGTAGCGGCAGTGTTTCGAACACTCGAGGGCGTTCCAAACACCCGAGGAAGAGTTGGGAATGGTCAAGGCATTGGAATGTTGTAAAGAGGTGCCAAAAATTTTCTGTTAAGGAGATTTTTGGCTAGAAAAGGGTTTCATGCTCTTATTCGATTGTTTGGATATGATTATGAAAGTGAGTGCTAAGTCATTCGTGAGATGCAGAGGTGCTAGGGCTGAACTTGTCAATGATCTCCTTCACCAACTTCTAATTTGATCAAGAATATTGTGGAAGATGGCAAAAACAGTCCGCGTACATGATATTCGCCGTAAATCAAACCAATCAGTTGATTTTTTGTCGGTCTATGGTGGCATGCATTACAGCTCGTTAACCTCTGAGGATGAGGATCTAGTGTCAGTCGCATTAAATGGAATAATCGCCTGAAGAAAATATTCTTTTTTCGCCGCGATGACCATGAATGTGTCCCTGTTCGTCCAACTAATTGTCTCTGAACTTCACCTCACGCCTTTGTTCCTCCAACTGCTTGACAGAAATCAAACTTTTTTTCAAGGCTGCAACCATTCTGACATCTTTCAAAGTCTTAAACCGACCAGGGTGTGCAATACGATGTGATCCATGCTCGTCACATCAAGAGCTCCATCGTCCGCTAGTTGCACCTTTCCAAAATCCCCAATAACCAAATTTTGAAATGCTTCAACGTTGTGGGTGGCATGAAATGAAGCACTAGAATCTATGAGCCAAGATCGTGTTCATTGATGACATTTAACAGAACTAGCGCAAGAAGTTTACCGCGATCGAGTTCAAAAACATCTTTCGGGAGCTAAATTGCAACTGACCGCCTTGAACCTTCTATGAAGTGGATTAAATTAGAGCTTGTCTGNAATTAGTCTAAAAATTATTGAGATGGTACCCGTAATTTGAGAATCATAAGCACTTTAGTCCTCTCCTAACGGCCATCAAAATTGCGTCAAAACGGTGTTAAAAGTTATACTAATTCCCCAAAAATGATTTTTTCTGATTAGGTATTTTCCCAAATTAGTTCATTTTTGAAATAAAAATCCATTAAATATGCAAAATTAAATTGAAATTTTATAGGATGAAAATATAATAAATAAAACTATAACTATAATCTAATAAATTTGAAAACAAATGTTTCAAATTGTTTAAAATTATTTTGAAGCATAACATGTAAATAAAATATTTAATAAACCGTTCCATCTGTTTGAAATAAGACTCATGCTTCAATTTATGATGTTTGATCGGAATTATTTAAAAACATCGTGAAGGGTGAGATTTGATCTTGAGAGACGTACGACGCGGTACCGAGAGAGGCTTTGTGGAGCTGTCTTGAATATAAAGGGCGGGAATCCAATTGTGTACATTTCCGTAGTTAGAGATATCCATATAGGAACTAGGGACTATCGTGAAGACTATCGGGGGCGACTCTGACTGTCAATGTGGGTTACACCAAGGGTCTGCCCTAAGCATAGTCACATTGTCAATGTTGACATCTTTGACGTGCTGGAATGATTTTTCAAAGTACTGAGGAGTGAGCTTGTTGAGAATCGCTTTCAATCGCCTTTGCTTTGCTTGCTCCTCGCTTGTTACCTTACCAACTTCATACTTTTCAGTTTTTTGCATCACTTGTGATGCAGTGTGAGAGTGCTTACTCCATAGACCCTTATGAAAAGCATTTTCTTGTATCCATTTACTAGCATCAACACCGTTACGTCGCATACCACCTCCTTGAGCACTAATAAGCCCTAAGTGAGACCCCCACCATAATGAAAGGGTGTTGGTGCAAGGTGACCGCCAAAATTCCTTCCTTGAGTGTGCCTTCCAGTCAAAAGTGGTCCAGGATGAGAACAAGTAATGCGTCGGTGGATAAGAAACAGGCACATCCCTCTTGAACCTGGACTGAACTGAACTTAAACCCAAACTCCCGGTGTTATTAGACTGTTCAGTTGAAATTACCTGCACTCCATTCATGAAATTAGGACTTATTGACCCAGACTGAAGAGAGAATGGCCCAGAAATGTGTGTGCTGCTGCTACAGTGAAACAATAAATTATGAATCAGGTAGCAGTTGAGGTCCAACGGGTTGCCACAATATGAAGCAAATGAAGATCCAAAATAATGTGAAAGAGGCTAGCACAATGTTTTCAATCAAAAAGCAAACCTTTCGTCGGAGTAGCTGGTACATTAGAGTCTGGAGCACTAAGGACTTTGGAAGATGGGGGTCTTGGTTCACCTGGGTTAACTTTTTGCTTTGGGGCATCGCGTATACTAACAGATGGTCTCCTTCCGAGTCTATCTTTAAGTTGATCTTTTTACTTTGTGTCCCGGAACTGGTACTCGCTTTATCTCTTTGTCTTCTGGTTTAATTCATCCATATTGATTTGTGCTTATATATTACACATTCCTTGGTTGGAGCAATTTTCGTTTGCACTCTTTTGAAAATTTTCTGTTTTTGAATGGAATTGTGTCTGAGAACCAATTGTCTGAGAAATGCTCTTTACTTTAACAACACGTCAAATTACAAACTCATATGCACATTTTACTTGGACGAGACATGAGCTAAGCTTGCAACTTTTGAACACAATAGACACCAAAGTGACACTCTTTCAATAAGTTAGAGGTACCCTTGTATAAATTGGTGCTAGAGTGACATGAAATTTGCCTCAACAATTATAGAGGTATTTTGTTTTTCATGACTATCAATCTATCATAGGTTACAACTATTTGTTTACCTTTTTAACCATGTGCCACAAACATACAAATATGGGTCTTCAAATGATTTCCACAAAATTGTTCCAAACGGTCTATTGAAGTACAAATACACACGATACATTTATTTTGTGTCCTTTTTATTTGAAGTTAGAGATGAATAATGTGGAAATAGTTCTCTTATTCTGGTACTGATATTGCTGCAAGAGCCACTATAGGCCATAAAGTTGTTGTTTCAAGTTGAGATGAATAATGTAGAAATAGTTCTCTTATTTTGGTACTTATATTGCAGCAAGAGCCACTAGAGGCCATAAAGTTGCTTGCTTTCAAAACCGAAGAGCTTCATATGACGAGTATGTCCTTGGCACGCTGTGGAAAACTTCTGGAGCTATGTGTTTTGCTTATGGTGGCTTGGGAAAAGTTGTTAAATAAAGCTAATGCTGATGAAAGCCCCCCATTAGAACGATGCATAAAGGAAGAGTTACAATGGACATTTGTTGAGAAGGCTAAATTGTTTTGTCACGTGGGTTGTGATGAGGTGCTCAATGCTCATAAGCGTAGAGAGAAATGGCTGATCTATGCAGGTTCGATGCTCCACATTTTCAATCAAGTCGGTGGTGTTCTTGACAAGTTTCATCTTTCAGAAAGAACAGAGGTATGTTCCAATGATTGATTCATTCTAGCTACTTTGTCTCTTTTTGATTGCCCCATGGAAGAGGAATGCTGAGTTCTTCATGCCATGATTTAACCACTTCATCTCAGCATTTTTCTTTTTTTTTCTTTTATCCCACATATCGGTTCTTATAGACCCCCCCTTTCAGCCAATGGATCGTCATGATCTTGCGGTAGAATTTACTGATTCATCGAGAGCAGCCGGATTCAAGTTGGAAATTAAGGGGACACATGAAGATATAAGGTGGTTTTCATACATGTCTGTTACTTGGTTAACTTCAGTTTGTGCATACACATGTTCAAACATGATTAGGGCTCGTTTACTGTTTAGGTATTTTTATTGTTTTATTGACTTTTGAAAATGATTGTTTTTAACTTGTAAATTTTGGCTTCTAAGAAGATCATTGAATGCTTGATGTTGTGTCAATAATTTGCTTGTATTGGAAAGCTAAGATCAAACTAAAAGCTTTGATGTTACTCCCTTAGTCATACGGTCAAATTTTATTCACTTTGTTTCCTTATCTTTAACACTATTTTCATAATATAATATTCATGTCACTTCTTGTTTTGTAGAAGTTTTTATGTAATCTTTAGATGTATAAATTTTATTTTTGAATTTTACACTTATAATCAAATAAATTATATTGAAAATAAGTCAAACATCGTGATTCGGACAGAGGAATTATTATTTTAGGCAAACTACACATTACCCCCTTGTCCTTGTTCTTTTGGTAAGAGATACGGGGCTTCTTTAAATTATGTTTTTCTTCTTTTTTATAGGATTAGTCCTATTGTCTTCCTTAACCAGTGATATACATCTCTGGAGTATTCATAATATTATTTTCCTTGAACAGAAAGGCTTAGTTACTGTTCATCTGCTACTCTTGAAGGTTCAATTCACCTCGGTTCAAGCTCGTTTGAAGGCCAATTTTTTGGGGATTATGGGCGACATGGGATGCTCTCTCAACACCTGAAATTGGATTTCCAAACCAGTTGAAGGAAGCTGCTAATTGAGCAAAATTTTGGACTCGGCGTCACTGTTCACCGCGAGGTCTTCAAGTCCAGGTTTACCCATGTTTTTTTGCTCGTTTTCCATCCCATTTTCTGGCATTGTGTTCGTGATTCAAGGGCCATTCAACGTCTGGTGTTTGAATCCTTATTCTAACAACTTGATTTTGGTCTCCTTGATTTTGGTTGCTCGAGTTACTGTTCACGCTCTAGTGTACCTATGCGGTTGGTTTTGCTACTGGTCTGGTCTTTATTGCTTGGGCTGGTGTTTGCTTGGCTGTTTGAGGGTAATACTGATCGAAGGGATCTAATTTGGGAAAAGTTTTTTCAACAAAACAGACAAAATCTTTTAAAATTCTAGCAATAAAATACGTTACAATCTATCTACCTCTGTGCATAATTAAAACAATCCATAGATTTTACATAATCCATGTATTTTAAAAAATCTTTCAAAATCTTTTAAAATCTAAATTGAATACACCACTAAGATTGTAGTGGTTTTAAATTCTCTCCTTATGACTCACTCCGTATGTCGTATGTATAAATTGTGCATGACTATCTTTTTAAGTTGACAATTAAAAAGAATACGAATTTAAAGTTCAAGAAAATGACAGTATACATGATATATTTTGTTCGCACTCATACATTTTTATAATTTAGTACTTTTGCGTACTCGCACTTGAACTTGCTTTCGCTTGATGTGATCTAGAATTTTGGCATTTTTAGCTGAGGGAGTTTACTTTTTTGAAAAAATGGAGAAAATGGATTCAATATACTCCGTCCTAAAATTACTTTGTACTCCGTACATAATAAACCTGAAGTATTATTCTGGTCACTCAATAACTTTTGTTTAAGTCCATGTTATTATTGAAATTGTGATAAAATAAAATATCTTTATTGTTGTTTATTTTGCAATTTTTTTGAAATAGTTTTGAAATATGTCAATTATATTATAGTTTTGAAAGTATCCATTTTGCACGTTGGAATTATGTAACTCCGTTGGGGCGGATGGGAAGGAAGTAGGAGACTACAGTGTCCAGCTCGGAGGGCAGCAGCTTTTTTCCTTGAATCTTTTCGACGCCCCATCTCTTCTTCTCTATTGAATCTCTTTTCTTTGAGCTCATGCCTGTTTCTTCCCTATCTAGAGCATTTCTTCTGTTTTAATTGTGACGCAATGCTTAAAATTACTCTCGAGGAGGGTTTTGAAGCCTGCGATACAGGGGTATAGACCCATATCCGATGAGTTTGCTCTTGTTCCAGTCCCAACCGAATCTCCCCTGCATCCAGGTTGTCGGATTCCAGCTTTCTCCACGATGCATTCAGGATTGGACACTATGCTTTATCAAGCACCACCTACCATCACTGTAAGTGATTTTGCTTAATGAGTTTGCTCTGATTTTATTAGGGTTTTCTCTGATTTTAGGTCTATAATGTTCCATAGTAGTAGTATAATAAAGTGTTCTATTCATTCTATTCAACAAAATGTGCATGACTTGGGCATCCTTAGTAAATTTAGGAAGATGTATGAAGTGGAATTTGTCTCATCTCCGCACATGGCCATTAGTCTCGGAGACGTCTTTCCATTGTTGTGGCACTACCCTGGGAATGCAAAATATTTAGGCTCCTTTCCCGGGAACATATTGGGATTTCGTACGTGTGGCCTCCTCTTATGAAGGAGGTACCTGAGTTGTGCTTTTGGGTTGGGCCCCCGGGATTCGTCACTATTAACTGTGACACTTCATTTGTTCATAGAACAGTAGGAGCTGCGTTTTGAACTCCCGAGGGCCGGCCCTTATACCCCCTTCATGAGTCCATGCCAACCAAGTACTCTATAGTTGAGCAAGGGGAATTGCTAGAAATGATCAAGGCACTATAAAGCTGCAAGGAGATGCTCAATATTTGCTCTGAAAGAGGAATTCAACTGGAAAAAGATTTTGTGCTTCTATTAGATTGTTTGGAAATGGTGAGGAAAGTGAGTGCTAGGGCATTTGTGAGACGCAAAAAGTGCTCGAGCTACACTTGTCAATCAGCTCCTTCAACAAACTATCAATTTAATTAAGAAGATTGAAGAAGATGGCAAAAGAGTTCATGTATTTTATACTCGGCGTGAATCAAACCAACTAGCGGATTTTTTGTCGGTCAATGGAGGCATGAACTACAGCTCCTCGACCTTTGAGGACAAGGAAAAGATAAAGGGAACACGCAAAAGATCTTGTTTCGATCACCTTCAAGAGAATAATTGACGTTGATAAAGAAGGAGCACTTTTTTTCCGTCACGAAGACTACGCTTGTCTTGGAAAATGTAAGTCTATCTATAGTTTTATTTAAATTATATTGTGCACGTCTTTGTATGTTTTTGTTTACTTATAAGTATTTATTGTTTAATGTTTTTTTAATTTTCAGTGTATGGGGTTGAGATTTCAAAAAAAAAAGAGACTGCCCAATTGAAGTGCGAAATGATGAAGGTGATGCAGAAATTATTGAGTCAGAAGAAGTAAATAGTAGGGACTAAGAGTTATGATCCAACAAATAAGCTTTGGGTCATAGAAAAAAATTCCAGCTCCTGTTTTAACTACACCCATTACACATATGAACTGCACGCAGTAGGTTTGAAGTTCTTTAACACTAAGGGATGAGTTAGAACTCATCAGAACTACGTTAAAATAATAAACTAACACTCAAAATAAAATCCATTATGTTTCTGGATATTTCATAAACTAACACACTCAAAATAAAATCAGTTCTTATACCAAACACAAAAGGCTAGAAGCCATGTACATTGTCTCATGGCAATTTGTTAACAAGAAAATATAATTGAATGGGATGCCTAGCTCTTTCAAGGGTCAAGGCAAACAAATCGCATCCCTTAGTGTTAAAAAACTTCAAACCTACTGCGTGTAGTTCATATGTGTAATGGGTGTAGTTAAAACAGTAGATGCAATTTTTGTCTATGACCCAAAGCTCATTTGTTGGATCATAACTCCTAGTCCCAACTATTTACTTTTTCTGACTCAATACGTTCTGCGTCATTTCGCACTTTAATTGGGCAACGTCTTTTTTTTTTGAAACCTCAACCCCATACATTGAAAATAAAAAAAACATTAAACAATATATACTTATAATTAAACAAAAACATGCAAAGACATGCACGATATAATTTAAATAAAACTATAGATAAACTTAACATTTTCCAAGACGAGCAAGTCCTCGTACGGAAAAAGAGTGCTCCTTTATCACCGGCAATTATTCTCTTGAAGGTGACCGAAACAAGATCTTTTGCGTGTTCGCCTTCATCTTCTTCCTCGTCCTCAGAGGTCGAGGAGCTGTTGTTCATGCCTCCATGGACCGACAAATAAATCTGCTAGTTTGATTCACGCCGAATGTAAAATACATGAACTCTTTTGCCATCTTCTTCAATCTTCTTGATTAAATTGGTAGTTTGTTAAAGGAGCTGATTGACAAGTGTAGTTCCAGCACTTTTGCGTCTCACAAATGCCCTAGCACTCACTTTCCTCACCATATCCAAACAATCAGATAGAAGCATGAAACCTTTTTCAGCTGAATTCCTCTTTCAGAGCAAATATTGAGCACCTCTTTGCAGCTTTCCTAGTGTCTTGATCATTCCTAGCAACTCCCCTTGCTCAACTATAAAGTAGTCGGTTGGCATGGACTCATGAAGGAGGTATAAGGTCTGGCCCTCGGGAGTTCGGAACACAAGCTCCTACTGCTCTATGAGCAAATGAATTGTCACAGTTAATAGTGACGAATCCCGGGGGCCCAACCTAAGAGCACAACTCAGGTACCTCCTTCATAAGAGGAGGCCACACGTACGAAATCCCAATATGTTTCGGGAAAGGAGCCTAAATATTTTGCATTCCCATCTAAGGTAGTGCCATAACAATGAAAAGACGTCCCCGAGACTAATGGCCATGTGAGGAGATTAGACAATTCTGTTGTGCTCTTCGATCTCCGCTTCATACATTTTCCTAAATTTACTGTCAGCCAAGTCCTGCACATTTTAATTTCTTCAAACTTCTTCAATTTTTTTTCTAACCTCTTCTAATTTCTTCAAACAGTGGTTTTCAAATTATATACGTGAATGTTAATAGTATTCTTTTTTCAATTTTTACTATTATTATTATTATAATAAATGTACAAAATGAGCACCATTTAACTTCTAAACGCATATATAGCAAATAGATAATAGCACCTAGGTTGGATTGAGTGGTAGGAAACCCAATATCAAAAATTCATGGAGAAGCTCACCCACATGTCCTAGCGAAGACAAAGGAACTGTCTCTTTGTCCGTCATTAAATATAAAAAAGTAGGAACAAATACTACATTCTAATCGAGTCAATAAAACTAAAAAATAAGTATACAATTCCTATCCTTTTCATCTAAATTCATAATATAAGACCTCTCAAACACGCACAAAGAAATTGTTTTTATCCACTTTTGAAAATTTACACTTTTGATTGAGTTATTTTCTTTTTAATAATATTATTATTAAAAAAGAATTAAAATTAAAATAACTTTTTTGATTGAGTCATATTAAAATTATTTTCTTTTGATTGAGTCATATTAAAATTATAATAATTTTTTTTGCTTAATAAGAATAAAGTAGATAATTTGTATCACATTGACCATTTTTTATAGAGTAAATTCCCAAAATAGTCCTTTGTAATAAGGGATTTTCCCAAATTAGTCCTCAGTAAGTTTTAATTACCTACATGGTCCTCTATAATTGAGATTTATTCCCAAAATAGTCCTTTGTAATAAGGTATTTTTCCAAATCAGTCCTCAATAAGTTTTAATTACCTAGGTGGTCCTCTATAATTGAGATTTATCCCCAAGATGGTCCTTCATAAATAATGTTACTCAAATGAGGATTAATTGAGGTTATTTTTTTCTGCTAAATTTAGAATTAATTTTTAAAATAATCATTTATAATGAAATGCTTTCCCAAAATGATTTTTCTTATTAAAGATGTGTATTTGATTTGAAATTTAAAAGATTTTTTTTAAGTTTTAAATAATTCATAAATTATTTATACTCAATGTATTTTTTAAATTTTACATTTAGTTGTACAGAAATGATTGTTTCAAAAATATACTTTAAATTTGGATTATCAAAATA